TTAGGGTTTTTATTAGCAGCTATGGGTTTGGAAGCAGAATAGCAAGGGTAAAATTCTTTTAAACGCTTAGGGTCCATAGTAGGATCAAAAATGGGGCCTAACATAGCATGATGGATTCCAGAAACAGAGATAGGAATTATTACCTGTGACCTGTAAATGCTTGCCTTTTCCCTTTCATTTGGGGGTTCTGGGAAGTACTGCTGATGCTGAGTTTGGGTAGGCCCAGATAATACGTGAGCAGGAGGAAGATCCTTGGTTTTCTTTGTCTTCTTTGCACTCTGTCCAGTGGTAGTCTTGGGAGGAGCCATTGATTTGTTGAAGATGGTGAAGAAACAAGAGCTCTGAAAGACTTGGAAATGGAGTTTTCACGCTTGGGTAAGAGAAGATTAGAGAGAATGGAAAGTGTGAAATGTTATTGAAAGTGGTATTTATAGAGTTTGAAATAAATGAGAAAAAAAAGAAAATGAAAAGATTTTTTCAGTTGGGAAAAGGGAAACATGCATGTTAATCCATTGGTGGAGATTGAAAGTGGCGGTTGGTAGTGAGCCATGATTTACCTACAATATAGGGTCATGGGAGATTGTGTGAAACGTGGGCTAGATGTGACGTTTCATAAAGTGAAAATCATTGTGTTTCCTTGGGACTCAACAAAAAATCACTTTACAATAAATGCAACTGGAAGTCAAAGGTCACTTCGACAGCAAAAGACATTTCTCCTTTGATAGTCGAAAATATCTTTGCTGGGGGGCAATTTGTAAACCCATAATTTCGACAAGATTAAAATTCAGGCTTTAAGGTCATCTTTGTCGAAGGATAGCATCAGGAGAAGAATCCAAGAATTACTGACAAGGTTTTAAAGTTTCATTGTTTCGACAGAAATAGATATAATGTTCTGGCAGAATAGTTTGGAGAGTGTGTGATTGAGGGCTTCGACAGAAGAAGTTTGTTAAAAAAAGATAAGGTTTGGCAAGTGTTGAAGAGTTTTTCTCCTTTAAAAGGGTTTCGACAGTTTTGAAGAGTTACAAGGTTTCGTCACCAAGGAAGAGATTCAAATTCAAAGGTTGTAACCTTTGGCAGTTGGACACATGGAGGTTTCAGAGAAGAAATTTACATGCAGGCTGACACTTGTCGTTTAGTTATAGTTTTTCCGTTCTAAGCAGTTATTTTGTTTATGTATAAATAGGATAGTTTGTGGTTAGAATGTGTGTGTGAAAATTTGTACAAAATTCCTGTAAAAGCTCTAAGTACCCAGTGTGAGAGAAAATGAGTCTAGTATTTGGAACAATGTACGTTTAAACACCAGTTATATTTCAAAGTCATTTTAAATTACTTGTTTATTCTTCAAGTCCATGTCATTTTAAATTTCATTTACTTTTTTGCAAGTTTTTAGCCTTTCGACATTTCTTTGTTCTTGTTTAAACTTTTAACCTTATTTCATCTTTAAGTTCAAACTTTCGTTACTTGCAAAATCAAAGTCCTTAATACTTTGACAACATTGATAAAACAAACCGCAAATTAGTCACCAAAAGTCTAAGAGTATTTCGACAGAACCAAATGCACATGTATCCTAGGACTTGTATGGTTGGTCCTGCAAGTAACCCAACTTTCTGAAGAAATTGGTTAACCAGAGGTTGTTCGCCAGAAAACACAGCGAACACATACACAAAACAAATTTAATCTTGATAAATTCTAGGAAGGGAATGTATTACCTTATGCATTTTTATACTCCAGGTTTTCCCCCAAATCCATGAGAATGAAAACCATATCAGTTTGATTGAAAAGTGCAAGTATGAACATAATTACCTTACATTCAGGTATGAATGTGAATACACAGAAGAATGAGAGATATACCAGTTGCAATACCGACAATAATGACTTACCTATATAATTTACATCCACGCCATGCACATATAGATGTTATATATACTACTGTTTAGTCAAAGAATTACCATGCTTATCTTGTAATGAATGAAGTTATTTCAACCACCGTGTAGTCATAAAATCACTTTCTTTCTTATTCTCATGGTTCAACATCAATGCACCTGGAAGTATTACGAATTTGTTAACTCGACCATACATGTGAAAAGGAGAAAAACAATAGAACAAAACAAACTAAAAATGCAAGAAATTCAAATTATCATTCTTGAAATTAAACCTAACAATCTTCGAAGAAATCCAGCGGAAATCAGTCATGAAATATTTGAAATCAGCGTGTAGAAGAGAGACTTACAAGCATTAAATTCATTGAAGATCTGCATTTTGAAAGCATTAAGGGGATTTAGCAGCATAACATAAAATCTCATGTCATGACCTTTTCTGACATAAAAGTGGATTTAGAAGCAATAAAAGGATGAAGATGATAACTTACTTAACAAATAACAAAAACATTGAAGATCAAAGTGAAAAAGGAAGAAAAATAGAGAAAGAGAGGAAGAAGTGAGAGATGTGGCAAGTAGGGTTTGTGAAAGAGAGAAGAAGATTACTTCATATATATTTCTTTTATTTTTAAAACTTTAAATTAATATAAAATAAAATAATTCTATATCATCTAATTTAATGATGCTAAATACCACACATCCAGAATTAACGTTTATTATATAAAAAACTAAAATAAAATTTAAAATAAAATTAAAAGATCGAAAGATGCATTAAGCAAAATTAATTTGTTTACCTTAGAAAATCAAAATTCTATACAGCAATTTTACTTTTTGATTTATTATTATATTTTTTCTACAAGCAAAGAGATAATTTATTTTACCCACACAATTAAAAAAAGAAAAAACTAACAGAGACATTGAAACAAAGACCTACTCCTTGTACAACAGATTTTCCCTCTCCATATAACCCCGGCCGCCGTCGCTGCTCGGACGCACCCAATCAAACCCTAGCCGCACCACCAGACTCGCCCTTCCCTCTACTACAGTCACCGTCGCTGTTTCAACTCCTTTCTCCACCTTAGCAGTTATCACATACTCTCAACGGTTTCAACTCCGAATTTTTCAGCGTCTCGTAAATTTTCTTCCCCTTTCTTAATTTCATATATGATAGTTTATCGTTTACTTCTTCAGAATTTTTGGCACTGTTATGTTCGTCGCAGCGTTTTATAGTGTCTGAAGTTTTTCGTTTATTTGCTTATGTGATAGCGTTGTTTATATTTATATTGGTCTGGCTGGAATGTGGAGTTCATGCATGTGCACATCATTTGTTTGTTGAAATGCCTAATTGATTACATTCTCAAACACATTCGATTCTGTTTTTGCGTTGTGTCATAGCTGTGTTTTTGTCACCATTGAGGTTTTTAATCACTGTCGTAATGATGTGGTTTAGAATTGCCCCTGACTTAGCCTTAACCGCAGCTGCAAAACATTAGAAATCTTCGTGTTGCAGCCAAAGCTTGAATGCCAGCTTCCTACTAGTTATTATTCCTTGTGCTTGTAATATCCTTCACTCTAAACAAAGACCTTCTTCTAAGTTACAATTGGAGTTATCAAAGCTGTGATTTTAACAATTTGACGTCTGTCTAAGTATCTATAACTTTGAAAGGCTGCTTTGGAACATTACTAAACAATTTCATAAGCACCGAGGAAAATAGCCTTTGAAGCATCGACTAACACTCAGGGATAAATTAATTCACCCACATAAATTTCTTGCTAAAAGCAACCTAGAAAATGGAATGTTCCTCCCTCACCTCTCTTTCTCTATATCTTTTAGATAAGTTTGTTATTTCTCTTCTTCCGTCGAGCTGAATATTCCACTTGAAGTTCAGTTCTTCTTTATTTAGTTTAGACTCTTCAATTTCCTTTATTTCAAGGGTTAAGAAGACATACTCAAGGTCTTTGTAGGCATGTCTTGTATATACAAAACAAGATAGTAATATACTTTATTGCTTATGATGTTTCTTTATTACATTAGAGTTTAGTGTACAATTTGTCATCACAGATTTATGTGTTTTCTGTACAGTCATTCAAACTAGTTAAACTTTCTTATTATTTTAATCCATTAGCCTTGTCATGTGTCCGGGATTGTGCATAACTATTTGTGGTTCTGTTGCTGAGTGTTCGAAAAATGGGCCTGGCTTGCTATTTTTTTTGGATTTGACTTGTTGATCACTTGTATTTAATGTTGACTAGGTCTTTCTTTGGAGATGAAATGATTTATTGATATGTTGTATGATGTAATTGACAAAATCATAGAATTAGTTCAATGTTTTATATTCCAAATTGAATTCTTATTATGCGAATCTTGCAGAGTAACAGAGGTGGAACATTTCTCACTTTTTACCTTCCCTCCAAACCAGCTTAGGGACACTTGATATTATTTGCCTCATTTTGTGTTTCATGTGAAGTATTGTATAGTATGTTGTCAACGCAATTGATGCAATCATGTGACTCCTTTGATCACGGCTTGTTCGATTTGATTCTCATGTATAAAACTGAATTAGTGTTCTTGTTCTACGAATTTGCTGTGACAATGTTAAGCTGCAATATATATTTAGTTGATTTTTGAATTTCTGTAGAGACAGTAGAGTGGGAATTTATCAGCTTGAAATTTCTCTATGAACATAAACTTATCATAGAGAGGTTAGAATTGATCTTATATGCTAAATTAGTAAATCAGTTAAATTAGCAAGATTGGTAAATTTTGCTAGTGAGATTTAGAGAAAGGCAAGGATAATCTCTAATTACTATTACTCCCTCTGGTCCTAAATATATGAGAAAGTTGGGGCAGCTGAAGTTGATGTATTAGGTCAAAAATATGAATTCAGTTATCAGTTAAAAATTTCTGTCTTTTTTCCTTGGATCTCTATCTCTCTGTTAAATCATGTTTCTATTTTCATAGATTAGATTGTTTCCTACAATTCTGCATTGATCTTGAACTTTTGGACATAGTTGTTTATTTTCTGTTAATACTTTGAAAATCATCATTTTGGATTTATATAGTTGTTCAGCTTATGACATATCTTCATGTGTGACATATAGGTTGAATCATAAAACAGTTCAATGGCTGAAGAAACACAAGTGGTTGAATCTGGAAGAGGCTTGGGAAAGAGGAAATTTGGTAGGAACCAAGGCCGCAAAAAGACAAATAAGAAACCAAAAGTGATGCAGCCACCACGCGGACAGAAGAAAGTAAAAATTGATCAAAAAATGAAGAAACTTTACCACAAGCGAGCACGAGAGTATAATTCTGATGATGAAGATGAGACAGCTGCCCCGGCTTCTGTGAGGACTAAAGGTGTGGCATCTAAGAAGACTAGAGGTGTAGCATCTTTCACCAAAAAAAAGCACGAGGAGGAAGACATAGAAGGTGAAGAGATGTCTGAAGAGGAAGGAGCAGCAGGAGGACAAAGAACGCAGAAGAAGAATGTTACTGATAAAAAAGTTAGTTTCTCAGAGGATGAAGGAGAAGATGGTGATGAAATTCAGCCTGGAATTACTAAATTTACCGAAGGTTGTAAAGCATTCAAGATGGCCTTCAAGAGTATTATAAAGAAGAGTGTTTCTGATGACTTGTTGGTAAGCTAGGTGATCATACAACATGCTAACGTTTATTAGAGAATTATAAAATTGGTATTCTTAAACTTGGATATCTCTATAGGGTCCAGTATTGTCAGCACAAAAGAATCTTGTTATAGAAAAGCTAGCGGAAGAGGAGGCAGAGCGCAAGGTCAAGGGAGAGGCAAAAAAGGAAAAGCTAATGGTAATTTTAAATTTCAAGTTGACTGATTTTAATGATATCCCAATTAGTACTAAAATTCACGTGTATCTCCAATTTTCATAGTCCAAAATATTATGCATCTGGTTATCAATCTGAAAATTTCTATCTTATTGCTTGTTACAGCTAGCAGAAAAGGGGCATGTTAAGCCTGCTACTTATTTGGACTCGCACGAAAAGTTTCTAATAAGTGTAGCGACCAAAGGAGGTAAATGATCCGCTTTTTCTCTTAAGTAGAGGTATATTTTAATTTTATTTATGACTTTCATTTCCTCTTACTAATTTGATTGTTGATGTGAACATGTACTACTTCTGATTTCCTTCAGTGGTCAAGTTGTTCAACGCCGTAAGTCTGTCTTAGCATACAACCGGATTTTGCTTCTTCCTGATTTTCGACTTCTGTCTCTTTGTTGCGTTGTATCTTTAGCGTTATTAAATCAAAGGGCTTTTACACCTGTTTCAGGTCAACAAGGCACAAGTTGCTCAAAAAGGGCTGGATCCCTCAAAGAATAGGGATGCCAAAGGTAAGTTGTTTTATGATTCAACAACAAAACGCGAGACATTAGGAAGATTCAAGTTAGTTGTCCAATAACTGAATCGGATAAACGAAAAGAAACCTCATTTGGGGGATTATTTGTTTCGGTTAATATTATTTACTGGGAAGTTTAACACAATTTCTCTGGCCAAACAACCTCAGTTTTATTGATTTTGTCAATGTTATCAAATAGTAGTGCTATAGCATTATAGCGTAGTGGATTTTGAAGAATCCATAAATGAAAAGCGCAATGCTATCCCTGTTTCTCTATTAGGGCCTTAGGCCATAGCAGTTCTCACTTCAATACCAAAAAAGAGAATTTTATGTTTTTAAAATAGATAATTGAAGAGTCAGATTATTACTCCTATAATCACCCTAATACGTAAAACTTTCAAGCCATGCTATGCCTCATTTTATTTCAGCATATCTTAGTCCTCCATCTTCAGTGAGGAGGATAAATCTTTCAATTAACTTTTTTTAAAGAGGCAGCATGTCAGCCGCACATGAACTTTTCTAAAACTCTCAATGCACTTTTTTATGCAGCGTAGCATTGTTTATATATTATTGATATCTTTCAACTGCTAGCGAGTTTTGATATATGCCTGCAATGATATCCGGTATTCCACAGTAGATTTTTGGTGATTCACTAATTGCACGATCCGCTATTAGTAACACTGATATTTGTTTATGACGACCATGCCAATGACTTGTTCTTGATATCATGCTCTAAGTATTAGAGGAAAGAGTTAACCATTAATCTAATTTGTATATAAAACTGTTGAAAAATAGGAGCAGTTGTAAGTTGTAACTTAGAACAATACTACTCTCCAAATGGATCCATCGCTGTCAGTGTTATCTGTTTACCTTTTTAATCTTGTTCTTACTTATCTGTTTTACTAATGTGGTTCCTAATATATTTAACATGTGGCAGAGTTAAGAAAACGCACCAAAGAAGCCTTCTTTTCGGAATTAGGGAAGCCAGCAACTGGCACCTCTGTAAAGGTGATTGCTACAAATAGTTCTCTTTCTGTCAGTTTTTCATTGGTAGTCCTTTTTTATTGATAATTTCCTAATTTGAAGCACTGTTTTAAATAGTTAGTTAGAACTAATCAGCCCTGTCCCTCTGCTCAATTCTGATGAAGGATAAGCTCCGCATTTATTGGAACAAGGATAACCAAAATGCATATAAGTTGAGAATGCCCAACTACAAAGTCTTTACTCTATTTAGACTTAAGCATTTGCAACTTATATACTCTTCGGTTCTTTTTGTTCCTAGCAATGTGAAAATTTGAGATCTGGAACAAATTCAAATTTCTTTTTTGAAATCCTATAAATCCTAATTCATATAACTATATTCATAAATGTCTATTTTGTCTTTAGAACCATTAGTATCTACAAAGTGTTCACTCTATTTAGATTTGAGCATTTTTACAACTTATATACACTTTGGTTCTTTTTGTTCCTAGCAATGTAAGAAATTGAGAGCTGGAACAAATTCAAATTTCTTTTTTGAAATCATATGAATCCTAATTCATAAAACTATATTCATAAGTGTCTATTTTGTCTTTAAAACCCTTAGTGTATGAGCTATACATTAGTTTGAGTTAAAACATGTTTAATATGATATATTATTATTTTTTATTAGGCCTTCTACTTCAAAATCATTCCATTTTATCTGAATAGACAAATTGTCAAACTGGTGGCTTCACTGGTTTGATGTTATAGATCTGCACTACTATGTTTAATACAATACTAATTTTCTTTGTATAAACTGCTGCAAGTGTTTCTTAACTGGAAAACTTGTTGCTTAATTATAAAATCTTTTGTATTCTGGATTTACAGGCCAATGCAAGCACAAGCAATGGAGAAGATGAGCAACCTTCTTGGGCTCCATTACGAGATAATTATATGCTGACAAGTTCAAGAATAAAGGATTGGGACAAAAACATGCCAGTAAGTATCTTTTGAAGTTACTATTATACTAAGATCCAGCTACCTTGCACTCACCGTGTTGCTCAACCGCAGGGTAAAAATGAATCAGATGACAATGAAAATATTTCTGAAGATAGCAGCTCCGATGAAGATTAAGGTTTTGATACTTGAGAAAGCTGCATTGGTGTGTTTCTAGTGGGAAAATCAGTCAGATTTTGATTGTTGTGTTACAATTCTGTTCATTTGGTTCGCAGCGAATGGACTTGGGCAAACTTGCTGGCTGATTGGTCGATTGGCTGTACTTTGGTATAAGCCAGCAATTTTGAATGTGTTCACTGAACCAAATTTACTGAACATGATGAATAGAGTTTCTTTATCTTTATTATCCAACTGTAATAGACTATTATTTTTAAATAGAAAATGTTTCTCATTATTTTTTTTTTGAAAGATTTATTTAAAATAGTTTTCATTGATATAAATTTGAACTAAATTAGTTGAATAAATCATTTTATTTTCACTATTTTTTTCTCCTTTTGGAGCATAGGTGGGATGCATGTAGAGACCACTATTCTTTTTGTTGTCCTTTTGATATCTTAGGGCATATCAAACATTTTGCATATGCTTTTTTTACGTAGTCTCAAAAACAATATAATATACTTATATTTATAGTGTTAAATTTTGTATGATTTATGCCTTTAAATGACTCATTTACTACGGATCAAAGTTATTTTTGCATAGAATTTTGTAATTGACTGTAAAGAGTTCAAAATGTATGTAAAATAGTTATTATTATTAAAATTACAAAGCATCATTACAAGCATAAGTAGTAACAAATAAAGTAGATTTGCATTTTTTAAAGGATTGTTCAATACCTTTTGAAACGTACGATGAAATTTCAAAAATCCGACGATATTTCAAAAATATCCGAACAATTTAGATTTTAAAATCTGAACGTGTGTCAACACAACACATCTTTGTTCAATTTTAAAGTTATGTATTTAAAAAAAAAAAATCAATTTCCGATTTTTGGAATTTCTACAAAGATTGGAATTTAGGCGTTTCAGCTTAAGTATTTGCGCTTAGGGTCTGTTTGGTTCAAATGAGAGGGAGGGGAGGGGAGGAATTTTAATGAAGGGGAAGGGAGGGGAGGGGAGGTGAAGGAATTTTTTAATTAAATAAGTGTTTGGTTCAAAAGAGAGGAGGGGAGGAGAGAGATTTTAATTAAAAATGTGTTTGGTTCAGAAGGGGAGGGGAGGAGTTTTATTAATAATTTACATTTTTATCCTTATGATCTTATATAAGTTATATGATATTAAAATGTGAAAAATTCGTGCGTATTTTTGTTGGTAATAAAATTTCTAATATTGAGTGATTAAAAAAATATTTATTTGTCACTAAAGTTAAAAAATTGAGTACAATCGATTCGACTTATAACTTTCCAATATAAATTAAACTATATGCCAATAACATCGTTTAAATTGTGATGAATCATATAACAAAACAAATATATAAAATAACTTATTACTAAATATTAATGGTTCAAAATATTTAATAAAATGAATAAACAAAAATAAATAAAATGATATGGTTTACAATTTGATATAAAAGAAAATATGATAGAGTACATAACAAAATTAAAAGAAAAAAACGAATATAACGAAACATAATTTTTTTTATAAAAAAAAAGACAATGATTATGATTTATATTAATTATAAAAATTATAAAATAATTTGAAGGTGAAGAACAATTATAATAAATTGATGAAATCGAGAAAAAACAGTAACATAAAAGATAACAAATAGTTTTGAAATAATAAAATTAAACTGAGGATATTTTAGTAAATATAATAATTTTTAAATATCAAAACTAATATTCCTTCCCCTCCCCTCCAAATCCCCCCAATTCGGAGGGAACCAAAAAGTGTGTTTTGGAGGGATTTTGCTCCCCTCCCCTCCCCTCTCCTCCCCTCCTAAAATTTGAACCAAACATATTTAATTAAAAATTTCCCCTCCCCTCCCCTCCCCTCCCCCCCATCTACCCCGAACCAAACACACCCTTAGTTTATATAGAGTGATATCCTTCGCTTTACAAATCGGTTTTGTAACTCTGATTTTATCATGGTATCATGAGCCTACCAATTCGGGTCACTCACCATATATATATATATATATATATATATATATATATATATATATATATATATATATATATATATATATATATATATATATATATATATATATATATATATATATATATATATATATATATATATATATATATATATATATATATATATATATATATATATATATATATATATATATATATATATATATATATATATATATATATATATATATATATATATATATATATATATATATATATATATATATATATATATATATATATATATATATATATATATATATATATATATATATATATATATATATATATATATATATATATATATATATATATATATATATATATATATATATATGTGTGTGTGTGCACCAAACCCAAATAAATGTTGTGGACAAGAGGGTGAGTTGAAAAAAAACAAGTATCATATATCGATAATTCGAGCCACCCATCGTTTATATCCATGTACCAAGCCTAATAGTGTTGGTCGCGAGGGGGTGTATTGAGAAAACCTAAGTCTCACATTGGTTAAAGATAAAACTCACAACGGGTTTAGATAGAGTGACACCCCTCACCTTACAAGCCGATTTTGTAGGGTTGAGTTATGTCAAACTCTAATCCTATCACATTGCAATGAAACTTAACACATCTCTCGAGTTATATTCCACTACAAAGATCAAATAGAACAAATATTTGATAAGTTACTCATTCCCTTAAATTTTATAATTTGACATGCATACATTACCTAAATAGTTTATTGGTATGATACATTATACTTAAATGCAATATATATGTCATTTTTGTTTGTCCTAAACTGCCTTGAAATTTTGAACATTGTAGCTTAGAGTTTGTGCATGCTTTGTTTCTACCGTGTCTTCTGGTTCTATGTAGTCCGAATTTTGAAATCCAGATCCTTATTTCGGGTAACAAAATTCAAATTTACCTATCATCTGTTTTTTGGTTCGATTTGGAAATACCTTCTTTGGTTATGACATGATTTTTCTTGTTTAATTATGGAAATAATGATTGACAACCAAGAAAGGATGAGATATGGTAGCATGACCCAACATGTTTTTGTTCGTAGGTAGAAATGTATACCCCCACGACCCACAATTGGAGAAAATTATTTCGATGTTGGCGCTTCTTCTTCCCGGGTTCATGTGTCTCCAACATCATCTTTCCAAACTCATGTGTCCCCTGATGCTCTATATGTTGACGTGCTTGATTTTTTTCCGCAAGGCCCCTAAGACCTTTCACTACTTCCTACGTATTCAGACCATGTTTCTAGGCACATATGGGAGGGAACGATAACATAAATCGTTAATTATTGTTTAAACATCCGTGTTATTATATTTGAACTATTCGACGATGACATATTTATTTTTTTAGTACCGTGATACGTTAAAATGTATCAACCATGGTGTTAGCCTGAAAATTCTACCTGTTGAAAAGTCAACAGAGAATAGTAATTGTTACGTTGAAAATAATAAGTGACAGAGCTTAAACAAAAATCTTCGACATGTTGATTGTGTCGACCTTGTGATTCGACTATGCAGTAAGTAGAGTCGAGGTCAAGAAAGGTTTGGAAGAGTTTTAAGAATAAATTCATAAGATTATGATGAATCTCTCTTCCAAACATGTTCATAATCTTGAGAGTCACATGGAAACTCTTCGACACGACGTCGAAGTCGACACTTATTCAGTGTTAAAGACTTATGATATTTTTAAGTCCAAAGACTACGTGATATGGAAGTTTTAGCATTGTGGGATTGACGGAAAGCTCTCAACAAAGGGGGTTAAGGCGTTCCAAAAACAATTATCAACACAATTTATTTTGTTTTTAGCAATTGTCCTTTGAAGACGCGTGAAAGCAAAACAACCCCGCTAGTAGGACACACATCGAATAGATAACCAACAATTGTTGTCGAAAGTTATTTTAGGAATAATATATAAAGCAGGCTCAGGCCTTGAATTAGAGGTCGCAAAAATCTCATTCATTCTCTATAGAACTAGAGTACTCAAGTCATCGAGCGAAGTCGTTTGTGAGAAATGTGAGTCTGTGTCCACTATTTAAATTATTTGCAAATCTTTTGTATTTCAAAGAATTTATGATTTAATGTCATTTACCTTGATCATTGTTCATTATCTTTTTTCCAAAGTTTGTTGTTTACATTCAGTTTGTTATTATTCAAGCATTTAAAACCCAAATAACACACATTTCTTTACATATATTATTTACACAAATTGTCTTAAAAAATTTTCGAGTTAATATTTTAAGTGAACTAAACTCGTGATTATTTACTAAAAACACTAGTAAACAAATTGGCACACCTGGTTGGACCTTTTGTGTAAAATGTTTATTTTTGTAGAAAAAAATTGTGTTCTTTTTGTCCAAATTTTGTTCTTCGTTCATGAAATGACTTCGGTTGTCGAGTGCGTATGTGCCTCAAGAATTTCAAGGCTCTTCCTGAAATGGCACATCCACCGTATAGAAACCCCCTCCCTAAAAAACTGCTTCGAATTCAGAAGAACAACCAGTCGCGTCGACAGTTGGTCATGTAGCAACTTCAACTTCTGTTGGAGAACCGTTACAAGTCAGATAACTGCGTCGATTGTATCACCGAAAATGGTGGTATCCTTACCATAATAACGAGTGTGACCACTACCCCTAGAACTACACAAAAATATGATAGGAGACCAAAGGACTCCTTTTCCCTTGAGTTTCATGTTGCCTATAATTGGTAGAGAACAACCTTACGACATGCGAACTGCTATGATGACAAACCTACACCCTAATGCATCTACGTAAGTAGATAATGTGATGGCTATCACATTCCCTATTAACCCATACTTAGCATCAGGGTCTGCTGTTAACAATCCTGGTCGAATGACATAACAATCAAAATGTTTAGGATATATTCCTCTAGGTATACCACACTTAACCAATAATTCTCTTCTGTCTATAAGATAAAAAATGGATGATAGTATTCACGATATGGTTAAC